CCCGAGGAGCGCGGCGTATGGGGGTCCCCGCTCCTGGGCACACGGCGCAGGACGGGCGCCGGCCCCTGGGCATGCGGCGCATAGGCGCTGCCGGCTCCTGGGCGTGCAGCACAGGAGCAGCGCCAATGCCGGGCATGCAGCGCATGGGCTGTTCTGGCCCCAGGCACGTGGCGTATGGGCAGCCCCACCCCTGGGCATGTGGCACAGGAGCGGCTCCGGCACCATCGCTGGCCCTGGGAGTGCAGCGTATGGGTGTCTTTGCCCCCGGGCCCAGGCGTGGCCCCGCCGCCCAGTGCTCAGCGTGGGAGTGGCCCCGCCCCCGGGCGCCCAGCAGCCCCAAAAGGTTGGGGACCACTGCCCTATAGAAATCAGTGCAACTTTTCTACCATTCAAAAAAAGATAGTTTTAAATATTAACGAATCCTCCATCACCCCTTGTGATAAGCAGCAGATATTACCCTACTTTAAAGACCAGGACATGAGAGGGGAAGTAACATGCTCACAGTGAGTGGCCCCGCCCCCGGGCGCCCAGCAGCCCCAAAAGGTTGGGGACCACTGCCCTATAGAAATCAGTGCAACTTTTCTACCATTCAAAAAAAGATAGTTTTAAATATTAACGAATCCTCCATCACCCCTTGTGATAAGCAGCAGATATTACCCTACTTTAAAGACCAGGACATGAGAGGGGAAGTAACATGCTCACAGTGACCCAGTGAGTCACTGGTGCAGAAGGGCAAAAAATCTAGGAATGGGGATCCTGCTGCTTTGCTCTGAACACTGGCCTGGATATACAACTCCAAGCATGGATGCAGATTGAGAGAGGCTCTGCTCACATAAAAGCTGCTTAAGCAGATGATGGGGACATTTCTGAAAGCAGAGCAGGTACAGACTGCCAGCCACATGGAACATACCTGGGACCCTATTCCTTCCCCAACCCATGAGCTCCTGGAGAATGTGACTCCATCCTGTGCAGAGATGGCAGTGTACGTACGAAGAGAACTGATGCCAACAATGGAATGCATTAGCATTATTGAGTGGCTTGATGCACAGAAATGAACAGTGTCAGAGCACTGCCTGTGCAGAGGGGCAAGAGACAGGGGCATGGCTAAGTGTTCTTCTGAAACTGCTGACAGTAGAAATGGCTTATACCAGGCAAGTCAAATTGGCGTTTGGCGGGCTGCATGAGGCCCGATCAAACTTTTTTGCAGCCCCCAGAACATTTTTATAAATGAATGAAGTGCAGCCCACTGGCCTCTCGCAGCATGTGGCCGAGTGCCTGCTTGCAGCTGGCCGGGCCGCTCCGTGCCGCAGCAACTGCTCACAGCCAGCCAGGCTGCTCTGCATGCTATAGCAGGCACTCACAGCTGGCCGCTGTGCTCACGCCACCCCAGTGCCTCAGGCGGCAACGTTGACTCCGGGACCCAGGTATTAGGTTGAGGGGCTGACTCTGGGGGAGGCATTAGGTTGGGTGGACTGGTTCTGGGGCAGGGGAGAGGCATTAGATTAGGTGGTGCGGGGAGCACCCGGCTCTGGTGGAGGCCTTAGGTTGGAGGGGCTGGCTCTGAGGGAGTGGAAGGGGATTGGGTTAAAATCGGGGTATGGGAGTGCCTAGCTTTAGGGGAGCGGAAGGGGTTATTTTGTTAATATTTTGTTTTTTATTTATTTATTCCCAAATAATCACAAAATGTATATTAATTTTATATCAATAAATATGTCAATTGTTTGCAATTGCATGAATAATTATATTTATGAAAATCTCAAACTTACAAAGTATCTGAAATTTTCACAGAAGCCTGTTCTATTTGATTAACCATGGTCTATACATGTTTTTATTTCAACAAAACAAGTTATGTATCATATACAAAATTTAAAAGTACCTGAAATTTATATTTAATTTAAAAATTATTTAATATGAGCAAATAATTGTACATATCAAATTATTGTAATATTATAAAATATACCTAAAACATAATCTATAAAATAAATAACTATGACTTTCCGATAAAGTACATTTTCTTTGGTGGCCCTAGGGTTGCCAGGTGTCTGGTATTGGTGCCTTCTGCTTGGCACCTAAAATGCATTTTTTTTTTTTGCTCATCAATGTTTTTTCATTTTTGGTCAAACCATCTAGGAGCCTTAGCCTTAGGTGGCTTTGAAAGCTATCATTTCATTTGTGCAGTCCTCAGTAGGCTTTGAGTTTGACATGCCTGGCTTACACCAATCATCTAACCCTTCCCTCAGCACTCAGCGATTCCCTCTACTTCCGAGGGACAGTTCTTTGGTCTAGCAGATTTCTTATATTTAGCTTAGCTGTCCCTCCAATTCCGCATCTTGGCTTTCCCTTTATATATGAGACACACTCACTTTTGGAAGTGAAAGCAAAACTTCCTTCTTTCATGGTGCTGTTCTTTTCCAGCTGGCAAATGCCATGGCCTGGCCTGCCTTTGGACAGCAGGGCAGTGGATTCATCAGCAGCAGAAGTGGTGGCAGCAGAGGGAGCCCCCACCCCCCCACACACACTGACTTGGCCAATTCCTTCTAAGTTTTGTAGCTACTAAGTGAATTTTTTGTTGGATACTTGGGCATATTTCACCTACGCAATCCACTGCCACTGCAGGGGCCTTGGACACTAGAAGGCCCTCAGTGTCCACTGTTCTCTGCCTGTGGCAAACAACAGTTCAGAGTCCTATGCAGATTAAAATTCATTGGTTCAGCCAAAGTCATTGGGCTCAATCTAGGGTAGGAGGGTGACATCCAATGGCCTGAGATATATAGGAGGTCACATGTTCTCTTTTGGCTCTAAACTGCAAGAAGCAAGGCCATCCAGGCTGGCATTTTCAAAGCAGGCCAGGCAAGCTGCATGTCAGTAGGACATGTGGGCACCTAATTCCCTTTGGGAGTCCTAGCCCAGCAGAAATCTTGTAACCCAGCATTATTCTGATGTAGCATTCCTCGGGGCCATTCTGCCCTCCTCTGCATGCCACTAACAGATCGCAACACCCACTGACAGTTTGCCTGCACATCTACAGGGCTGCAATGAGTTGTGCATGAACAACACTGTACTAAAGCTAGAAACATCCAAGTGTTCGCCTCTTTTTACTTGCCTCATATACAGCCTTTCCGAGCATTTTGCCCACGAACTCAAAGAGCTGGAGGTAGTTCTCGTGGATGTAGGATGTCGGGGATGGATACAGCCTCTCGTCACCACTGGTCGTCTACACAAACACAGTAGAGAGACAAGAGAACTCTGCTGTGAATAAGGGCCAGTTTTCACTGGTCGTTTCAGGCTGGGGGGCAATCTGAACCTATTTCTACAGCCCAGAGTCAATACCTTGAAGAGGTTGAGTGCAGGGTCAAACACCTTCTTTATGATCTCCTCCAAGAACTCTTTGAAAACACCATCTTGATCAATGCCAGCCTCATCGACACCCAGGTCATTCACAAACTTCACTCGGATAACTCCCTTCATGGCATTCTGGGACAGCTGCCTTAGCTGTTCGTATCCATCCTGCCCAGGTAGGAATTGCCATACGTTAGCCATACAGAAGGACTCACAAATGCTACCGTTACATGGAAAAGCAGGCAGCCTCTCTCCCCGCACCTCACCCGCCCAGTCTCCATGAGGGAAGGAATCATTTTGGTGCCCAAAAGAGCTTTCTAAATAAAATCCATACACACCAGTGAAGAAAACAAGCCCTGCTCTACTGAAAGGAGCACAACCAATGTTGATTCCACCCCTCGACCCTTCTGGTTTCTGCAGGCTGTACAAAGCATGTGTCTCGGGATGCTCCATTCTGAGAGCCTCAGCACAGCCTGAGCCTTAGCTTAGTTGGAGATTCTGAGGCACTTATTTAACCACCAACCCAAGAAAAAACAGGAACTCCAGTGCTAGATTCCATCGCATCAAATAGGCAGCACCTTTTCCCAGCCTCATCAGCAGCTCCCTGGCTTAAGGTGAACCCAAGGTGCCACTGAGAGGAAAACAGAAGCACTTTGAAGAACTTGCCTCCTCCCCCAGTATCAAACCCATCTGTCCTCAGATTGCTATGTCAGCTTGTGGTGTTGGGAAGCCCCCTGCTACTGGATGCCCAAACATCCAGGGTGGCAAAATACATCCACTCCTATTGGCAACTGGCTAGAAAGCAGTGCTCAGACCCAGTCATCCACACATTCAGGAATTACTACAATCCGCACGTCTGGAAGAGAGGTGGAAGCTGATGAGCGCACACAACAGAACTGTCACAGCCACAAGAATGACCAGGAACTTCATCATGTTCAGAATACGGATGTGAAAGATTAACTGGTGGGGGCTGGAGCAGCTCCCCATCTGTGTTGGGCAGAGGGCTGCTTCAGCCCTGCGGGGCCTGCCGTGGGTAGGGGCCGCCCCCCACGCC